TCGATTAGCGATATTTTACAGGAAGAAAAAAATCTTTTTTTTCTCTTCTTCTTTAGCCAATATTTGGTTCATTCAATAAATCATCTGAAAATTAATGTACATTTAGCAAGTGCGAAGAGTGAAAAAAAAAGTCAACTCAACGGAAACGCTCATTGAGTTGGTTCCGAAATCAATTTTGCGCTTCACATTTTATTGCTTCTTGTTGCTGGAACTGTTGCCCGAACGATGTGAACATTGTCCAAGGTAGGTTCAAGGTAATGGAAAGACAAACGTATAATAACTTCCTAAGGTATTTAACTTTACCTTAGCGTCAATAGACATTAACGTGATCGCAAATGCGTATCACACAACAAATGAAAACAAAAACTAACGTGAAAAAAATGAACAGGTAAACGAGATATTAATGGTAATGATATAAATTGTTCTCACTCACCTTTTTTTGCTTCTTCTTCTTCTTCTGTGAGGTTACAGGTAAGCTCATTTTTACACTAAAATATCATCGATTCTGTCAACCTTAAATGACTATCTGATGATTCGTCCACTTTTTTTGTCACCTTTTCCATCAATTTGCACACAATTTCATCAACTTTTAATATCCTTCATTCAAAGTGAGTCTCGCTTTTTTTTGTTGTTCAGATGATTTGTGATAAGTTTTTTTTCCTCAATAGACAGGTAAGTTGAAGATTGAAATCAAAGTTGCAAAATGATTATCCAATAAATGAGACATCATTAGATGATCATCATGATAGTCGAGATTAACTTGCACCTCGAGTTGAGCAAGCAAATGTTTGGATCGTGAAAAGTCCGTTTAATGGTTTGTGTTTGAAAACGGCTTTTTTGGAAGGAAAAAGGTTTCGAGAAATTTGAGAAATTTTTTCATATTTGTTCTAAAAATGTTCAGAATTTTTTTCAATTTTGTCAAACAGAAAATGAAAATTGAAAGATTTGATTTATGATAAAATTTTAGATCCATGATTAAGAGCAATATTCATGTCGAAACTTTTCGAGAAATATTGCACACTCTTCACAAAGTCAAGTTATCGACATTGATATCAGTTTATAAAGAAAAGAATTTTTAGATTTTTCGAGATTCGATTTCCAATTACAGATTTATAAATTCTGATTTCGATAGAGCATCTTGTGTTCAATGAGTTTACAAGAATTGAATTATCCATTTCTTTTAAACAGCTTTTTATTGAAATGCCTTGAAATGTGTGATTATCTTGAAACAAAACCTAATTACATTTAGCAATGAATTGGCAAAGATAAATAACGATTTTAAATTTAGCTTTAATGACGAAAAGCATAATGACCATTTCCCACAGCAAACCAATAGTCGACCTTTTGGTTTTTTGCCAAAACTTTGAATAAATGATTTCAAGTTTTGAAACGGATTACAATGAATTTGCCTCTGAATCTGCAACAAAATTCCTTTGACTTTGAAACATTCATTTCACAAGCAAAATTCAGAAAACGAATTTTTCTCAAACAAAGCGTCCATTAGTCTCAAAATACCCAAGTCGTTCAAAGCAAAGAACAAAATCTCCAAACTGTCGATTGTTTTGAAATCTTCAAATTTCCTCAAAAGTCGAAAACTCACAATCGAAGTACAACAAAAGGTAAAACTCAAAACTAGTCAATAAGTGACACACGTAATCATTACACCGAAACCAGGCCGACAATATTACAGAAGGACATCGGAAGACTAGTTTCCTGATCTGATCTGGAGAAGCATCTTAAAGACAAAAACCATTTAAAATGAACAGCTTTAACTTTCGCTGATTATCAAGTGATCAAGATAAAGTGTAATCACTGTAATCAAGTGTTCATCAATGTTAATTGTTCAATGTTAAATGAGTATGTTAAATACATTAAAAATGGTACAATATTTATCATTACCTTTCGGACTAATTGTTGATTCATTTTACGCTTTCTTTCATCACTGATTTTACTAGTTGCTTCCAATGTTCAAGCTGTTGTTGAACACCAACCAAAAAATGATACAAACAAAGCGTCGAGTTATTATAATAAAAAATGCAATATAATAATATATTTATTTTTCATAACAATTTTCAGTTGTTCATCCTTCTTATGGTTCAAGTCATTTAACATCAATTAGTTGTGACTGGTGGTCACCATCCATAGCCTTAGCCTTTATCCTCCTCTCAACCCAACTCTCTTCCTCATCGCCCATCAAACCTCTCATCCTCTCTTGCCATGTCTCACCCAATATCCAATTGAACAGGTATTTAATATTAGAAGCAACAAAAAAGCTCCATTTTTAGCGCAAAAGCAAAATGGCCAAAAACAGTGTGAGGGACAACTTTATCATCCTCATCATCATCTCTTCTTTCACCTTCTTTCTCTTTCTCTCCCAGCACCTAACAGAGGTATTTGCTTGGGTCAGTTCCGGTCTTGCCAAAATCCGCTTTGAAACATTCAAATCATAGAACCATTAAAAGCCGCCGGATATCAAAATGTCTTTCTCTCTTCTCTCTACTTTTCTCTGTCTATCACTGTCTTTCTCTTGTTTTCTCTCCTCATCATCATCATCGACTGTATTCCAATGATTCCTCTTTTTCTTCACTTTTCACTGTTTGACATTTGATTAGATTATCGGTAGATTGATGATACTTTTAATACATTTTCTTGTTGTATGTCAAATCGGATCGCTCTTTGAGTCTTTTTCACTTCACACAAAATAATCATTTATTTTAATTGACAACACAGACCAACAACCGATAGGTTGTTACCGAAAACCGGCCAGAAAAAAGGACGAAAAACTGTAGAAGAAGAAGCAAAAAAATTGATTTTCAACTTATCAGAGAAACAATTTGTTCATTGTTCAACATTGCCTCAAACACTGTTCAAAGAAACTCAAAAGTGAAGTTTTAAAACTTGGTAAAAGTAGAAGTAAAAAAAGCAAGACTCTTCAACCATTTTCACCATTTTCATGTTTACACTTCAATCTTGACATTTCAATTTTCCAGTCAACTAAACTTGACCAACTGACCAACCAGAAAGGCGAAAATACTTTGGGCCCAGTCACTTTTCCGTGACAAACATTTTTTCTCTTCTTTTTTCTTCGAAAATTTGGACAAAAATATTGAGCAAAAAAGGCAATTTTTAATGAACTTTATCGGAAAACTTTATTGGAAAAGCATTTTCAACTTTTTCAATAATCGCTTAAAGTGATCAAATTGCTGTGACTAATAATTTTGTATTATTAATGATTATTGAAAATTGAAAGGCAATGAAAACAAATGTCAATCAATCAAGAATACAATTGGAAAAAAGTCAACATTTGTTTAATCGAGTTTCCACCTTGCCTTTAATCTGTCGCTGAATAATCCATGAGCACCAGAAGCACCATCAGAATCCTAATCAATAATGTCAAGTTGATTGAACCGGAAAACGGAAAACACTGCAAGGACGAAGTCGAACCAACCCGAGTCGGCAAACCTTGCAAATTGCGATTTTCCCTTTTACTCTTAACAGCAAACGAAACGCAATGTTGGCAGAAAATTTCATTTCCTTGAAAAATAGTCGCCAATGGCGTACATGATATTTTTAGGTTCATTTGGCGTAAAAGTAAACCAACAATTTTTTCAACGCATTCATAATTAATTTGCCCATTAAAAAGGCCAAAAATGCAAAGGAAAAAGCAAAGTTATTACAACTTTTTCAGTTTCACACAAAATCGCAAAATTTTATATCAAAAAAGGCAAACTTTTCATGTTTATTGTGTGTGTAAATGTTTACAAACAAACATTGTTAACCATCATTTAACGTTCAGGTTGCAAGATTAGCTAGACAAGGTATATTCAGAGGTTTAATATGCTGTAAAAAAGGTTATCACTGGACGACAGGAAATGACCACAAAAGGGAAACTTTTTTTTCGCCACTTTTCTCTCGCTTTTTTCCCGTTTCACTTTCACTGTTGCCAGTGAAATAATATACAAGGTAATAAAGGTAATAATGATGATGATATTGTATAACATAACTGTTCAGAGAAAATTTAATATTCATTAATTAGCATGAGAATGGAAATGTTAATTGTTAATGGTCAAATGTGCCGTAACCAAATAATAACCTTTCTTATTTGCCGTTTTTTTTTCTTTCCCTTTTTTTCACATGAAATTGAGACTTGAGTTCAGTTTCAAGTTGTTTCTGTTTTTACCTTTCAGATTGGCTCAATGGTTATGGTGAGTAAATGATGCCACATGACCATGAAGTATTAATTAATTTAGTCTACTTGTTAGTACTTTGTCGTTGCCCGACACACAATTGTTAACAATTAATGGGTCAATTGAGATGGAAATTTCAATTTACATTTAATATCTTTTTTCATTAATTTAATCAACTTTATTCTGAGCAAAGATCTCGTTACTTTTAATCAAACCAAAGGTCAATTGCTTTTCAAATGTTTTAATTTAACCAAATGGTTAATTAATTATAGGATTTTCAAGCTTAAAATACACGGAAATTTTGGTCACAAAAACTGACAATTTTCTTGAAATTTTCAACAAAAATCAACCTTCGATTCAGTCGATTGCATTTCTTTATTCTTTCTTTATTTTGTTTCTTGAAAATAAACAACAAATAACGAGTTCAATCTTCAAGATCGAGAGTGCAAAGATAAAGAGAAAAGATTATTTTCTTCAAAAAAATATCGAAATATCGAAGCATTTCAGATGCATGATCAAAATTTGATCTCAGTCTCATTTAGTCAACCCTCAAAGTAAACGCAAAAAATTTTGCCGGTTATGACTTTTAACATTAGATTAGGCATACAAGAAAAAATGGCACCAACTTTAAATTCTTTTAATCAAAGTGAATTAGAATTATCGAAATTGATTTTTGAAATCAGCAGAAAATTTTATATCCAAAGACTTTCATCGAATCTAATTTTCAGTAAGATTTAGTGTTTATCCTTTTCAATTTCGGAACAAATTCTGATCAAGATTTTCTTGATTTTGTCAGTAATAAAGATTGCCAAATTTGTTTGAAAATTTCAATATTTATCGAGCAAATTTTGTGTAAATTTTTGAGTAAATTTTTGGCTCAAAAGTTGAGTAGTTTTGAATGAGCGACAATTTTAAGTTTGCACATGACAGGACATCCAAATGAGCCTAAATTGGGCAATGTATCGCCTCGGAACTGTTTGCATGAAGAAGAAGGTTGAAATCATTTGAGTAAAACTTTTCTGGTCAAAAGTGTGCATCAGAATTGTTGGATTGCCGATAATTACAGTAAATTGTTTTATGGGCAACTGATTATCGACAGATTGAAGACAGCCAATGTGTACCCAAAATGCTAAACTTGTTCAATGACTTGATCTTTGAAAGAAGAAATGAAACGAGTTTGAAAAATAAAAGGAGACAACAAAAGCAACGCACAACTTGGTAATGTGCAAAACGGACTGAAAAAAAAAGAGAGAGAGGAGAGAGAATCACATTAATACTTCTTTGTAAGTTTAACCTGTTGCTACTTGTTTCTGGTTTCTTTCATTGATTTCATTATTATTATGACTATTATTATTATCAATGGCTTGACTATTCTGAATGTGTTCACCATCATCATGTGAACCATGAAATTGGTGACCAGAAAAATTGCCAACCCGATACAATCCAATAGTCACTAGTAAAGGCACAACACACACACACAAATAACAAGCAACTCTCACTTGAGAGTCACTTATCATTCACTCTAATTACAGTGTTCAATGGCACTGTGCAATATGGTGAGTTGAACAATTTTTTACTCCTATCATGTTATCATAACCATTTTACCTTGAAGACGATCATCATCATCATCATGAGGAAAAAAAGGTAAAATGTAAAACAAGAGGAATAATAATATCTATCAATACATAGTCCAACGAGCAATCTAATAACCTGTCAACAGGTAGAAAATATAATTTTTGTCTTGAAAAAGCAAGGTGAAGATGAACAAAGCAAACCATTTCCATTCACCTATTCTGTATTCACAATAAGGTTTGACCTTATTCAGCTGTAAATACCTCCTTCACTCCACCTTGTCTCCTCCCATTCATCATCAACTCTTTAACTTTTCCTTCACACCCACAATCTACATTATCATCTGACCCTGTCCAGTAAGCACAGTGAATTAAAAAGCAAAGCTTATTCAAAGGGAAGTAAGCTTTGAAAAAGCAAAGTTTCGTTTCACATTTTCATCTAACTTTTGTTTACTTTGTAATGTTTCCAGTTCACTTCAATCATCACTAGAAAAATGAGTTTTAATTCAATTATTAATCAATCCTTAGGAATCAATAATTACCTAAAGATTCATTTTTACATTTAAACCTCTTTTTGTCCAATTCAAAAAGAGTTTAGAGAATCTGAAAAACTCATTTTTTCTAGTTTTGATCATTTCATGATTACTTTATTTAAAGTAAACAAATTGATGAAATGTTGAACTTATTCAAGGTGTTGAAGTATCGATGAAATGGTCCATTTTTGCCTCTGAAATGATCATTGGACCGCAAACTGAACCAGTGGAAAAGAATCGATCTGCAAAATTTAAATTCTTTTTTTAAAACACTTTCATGACCGAAGGTGGCTTTGAATGAAAAAACTGCGAATCCATGATAAATAATTGAAGGCACTTTCAATTGCTGAGCATTATTCAAATGGCTGCATTTAATTGATCCTATTCCGACAATTATGGTCCAAAAGAGTGTCACAGGAAAAGTCAATGGCGACAACTTTGTTGAATAATTCCAAGCTAATCTATTGAAAGAGAAAAAATTAAAGGTTAAATTGGGAAAATTTTTGTGATTAAATAAAAATTGTTGAGTTAAATCATGAGATTGACCGCAACAATATGATTAAACATTTTATCTGTTCACATAATCATGATAAGTTGATAATTATTTTCTCTCTCTTTTCTTTCATGATGGTTATGAAAATAAAAGTTGCGGGTGAAATGATAATTGAAGGTAAACATAGTGTTTGCTTAATGATAACTGATATTGATATAAATTATTGACATCAAACCAGAATAGAGGTTTGAAATTTATCACAATTATGCTAATTGATCTTTTAATCAGTGGTTTCCATCGAGTCAAGAGCTGGTTCAACATTGACCAATTATGGTCAGTATAACAATTGAAAGCATTTTCATCTTTTCAACTCGTTAACAGGTAAACAGGACGACGCTTCAAGACCAAACAGAGGTAAGCAGTTTGTTTACTGTAATAGTGTAACAATCAACACTCACCTAATAGTTGACAAATGTTACATTTTAATTAATTTGCTGCAACTTTTTTTTTCTCCTGCCAAGTCTTGTCTCATCAAAAGGTCGTAAGGACATTTATATATATGTGTGTGTGTTTGTATGTGTGTTATTATATGCTGATGGTGATCAAATTGACTCTTTATTTGGTTGGTTTCCGTTTTAACTGCACTTTATTTACTTGATGTTAATTGCTAGAACAATCAATATGATTGTTAAGCTGTTGACTCTCTCCCTCTGTCTCTGTGTGTTTCTCTGTCTATTCAATTTCAGCCTCTCTTTAGATTGCTGCCAAGTCTATGGACCTGACTTTCAATGGAGATGATGATAGCAACAGCAAAATGATCATGTTGAAACAGATAAGTGTTATTGATGAAAATGTTGATACCATGGCAAAAAAAAGGATGATGAGGTTGATGACGACATTTGAAAACAATCAACTCTTGCCCACCAAGTATTATAATATAAACACCAATGGAAAGTGAACTGTTGTTTTTATCTGTAAATTCATAGGAAACAGACTGTTGATCAACTGTTGTTATTGGGCTTGGTAAGTTTGTTTTATCTGGTGAAAACCAAAATAGGAATCAGCATCATTATCTCCTGGCTCTGGTTTGTTAGGATCAATTCAGGGTAATGTGAATAAATAACCAACAGGAAAGGGAAACGGAAGAAGAACAAGACTGAAAAAGAAGAAAAAAAATAGTCAGAGAGACGAAGATGAAGGAGAAGAGATACATGGAATAGACAGAAAAGGAATGAAGAGAAGAAAGAGAAGAAATAACAAGGGAAAGGACAGATTAGATGAAGTAAATAAGCTTCATGGGACTCTTGAGAGAGTGATAATCAAATGATGACGAATGAGAGATTGATGAATAATCATGGAGTTATCTAATTGTTATAATGGTTTGTCAATCTTTGGACGTTACCATAATTAAAATGGGAAGGAAATTAACAGAGGAAATCCTAAGCTTAACCAGAATCAACCTCAAAATGAACAAATGAAACAAGTTGCCATCAACAGAAAACTCATGAATCTGTTTCCATCAATGGACTTTTCTCGTTCTTCCTCTTTTTTCTTCTTCACCAACTCGAACCTCTTCTCTCTTTGACCTCTTTCTTTTCCCTCTTTCTTGTCATCTTCTTCTTTCTCTTCTTCATCTTTCTTTTTGCTCTTTAATTGTCTTTATAACTCTCCCAATAAACTGCAACTTATCCTGTGCAAGATTTTGCTTTATTCATTTGACTTTGTCCATTGACATTGAGCTAAGTTAATCTCATCTAATCTTTACAATAACTTTATTATTAGGTTTGTTGTTGTAATGTTATATTAAATTGTTTTGGACAGTAAAAATGACAAATGAGTGAACATGAAAAAAAACAACAACTCTAGATGACCAGTACTTTGAATAAAGACAAAAAAACTTGTAAGTCTATGTTAATATATTTAAAACGGTTAGTTTGAAGCTTACTAGCATTTGAATATTGTATATTGTATAAATACAAAGTTGGCAACTTTAATTGACTTTTTTTTATCATCATATTATGGCTTCTATTAATAGTAAATGCTATCAACGACCTCTTAATGACAACAAACTTGGAGAAAAGAAGATGAAGAAGAGAAACTGTAAACATGAAGTGATGATGAAGTAAAATGAGGGAAAAAACAGTGCGAAGAGAGACTGGAAGATGATGAGAATGAAGAGTGGATGAAATTTACTCAGAAAATAGCCATTGGAATATGAGATGTTCAACTTATTTTCTGTCTCATTTGGTGTAATTTAACTTTTCAACTTGATCCAATTTCCGGATATTAAACTAGCTTAACAGTTAAACAAAACGTTTTTTCTTCTCTCATCTCACAATACACATCAAAACTCAATAAAAAAATAACAAATATGATGATTATGGATGTAAAGTAGCATTAAAAAAAACAAGAGAAGAAAAGAAAGAGAAAAGAGAAAGAGAAAGAAAGCTTACTATGGCTTTGAATTCACTTAAGTTAACTCCAGCTTCAAGGTTGAACTTGGTGTAAATGGTTAAATATGGTTAAAGATGTGGTTCACAATCAACACAGACGATCACTTTGATTAAAATATACATGAATCTAGTTTGTTTTTTTTTCAGAAAAAAAAGATCCTGAATATGGCTATCATGGATAGCTGAATACATACGATAAGTGGAAAAAAACCAAATGAAAATCAGCAGATCCAAAGATTGAAGAGAGAAAGAAGCGCAAGAGGGAAAACAACAAAATCCATCAAAACAATTGTAAAAAGGGGTAAAAGAGTATCCATACATCTTATCCAATAGTTAATCCTTAGTTAGCTGGATTATTAAACGGCTAAAAGCGGGTTGCATCTTGAATAAACTGGAAAAAGAAGAGAAATAAAAAAGTTAGATAATGAAAGGATTTTATAAAAATGAAAAGGCTTTGAAGTGGACAAGAGAAACGGTTAAACTTGCCTTTAATAAATAAAGAAGCTTCACATGTCTAGTCAATATGGCGACGAAAGGAAATCTCATTTTCACCTTTCAATCACCACCATTGCCATTTTTAACCGCTAACTTATTCCCCTCTCCCTAAAAAACCAAAAAAAACCAACAGTAAAATTTCCGGTGATCTTTAGGTTATCTCTTGAATTTACGTAATTCATGAATAGAAATGTTCAAATATGGTTTGATCTGTTAATAATTAGACAAACAATTAGCAATCTAAAAAAAGGTAATGACCAAAGAAAGATATTTACTTACATTTAATACCATAACGTGATACTTTAACTGTCAGCTTTACCTGATCTTTCCAAAAAATTGAAGCAAACACTTTGTAAAAAACATTAATTTACTTACAGATTTTTTACCTTTGATCCTTTCCTTTTCCATGGTGGCCATGTCTTGACCTTTCAACTTTTACCAATTAAAACTATCCAGTGAAATTAACCAACAGTAAAAAGTAAGTCCACTTGAACACACATTTTTGTTCTTACTCAACTTGCGTTTAAACATTACAACCAATAGATGGAGTTACATTAGGAAGCCGTGTTAACAAATGAAGAGTGAGTTTCAATGTGAGTGTGAGACTGAAAGAGAGAGACAGAGAGTGAGACTCTGGGTTAACAGTAACTTGTAAATGTTTAGCAGTTTGATCGCTGCTTTCAACCCGGGCGCGTGCATCATCATTATTATTATTCATTTATTAGTAAATATAAATATATATTATATTATATATAATTTAAATTGTGAAGTAAATATTATTCCATTGTATTATTGTATTATTAATTAATTAATCTTGATTTCTTTTTAAAATTTTTCTTCTTCTCTATCTAATCTCTATCTTTATTATTACCAACACCAAACCATTTAAGTGGGATGCCTCGACAGAAACAATATCGACCTAAACGGACTAAATGTGAATTTTGTTCTTCAAGTTGTTTAAATCTTCACAAGACATGCAAAAATGGTGATGTTGACGATGATATCTACAATAGCGGTGTTGGTGAAGATATCGGTGATGATGAGGATATTGAGCTTCCAAGGAAAAGTGAACCCCTGACATCTAAATATTCACCAAATATAAATTCTCTGATGATGATGAGAAATACAGAGAGACCAGATGTTGATAGGAAAAGTGAACCCACCAATCTAAGTAATAATAATAATAATAATGTTATTAATAATAATAATAATAATAATAATAGTAGCAGCAAATATTTAACCAGCTCATCATCATCACCACCAACAAATACAGGAAACTCTTTGATGAATCTGATGAGAACATCAGAGAGACCAGAAAGTCCCATGATTACCTGTCCATCCACTGGTTACCTTCAGGATACATTAAAGTGTGGTTTATGTTCATTGGAATTATCTTTATCTGATATAATTAAATTTATTGACCATAAAGGAATTTGTAAATTAAAAGAACCTCGTTCCTGTCGTCGAGTCTCATCTTCTTCTGGTAACAATAATGGGACTGGAGGTGAAAGATCAACATTAACAAATACAAATCATAATCATCTTCATTCTTCTTCTTCTTCTCATTTACACAATTCTACTCATCATCATCATTCTAATCAACATAATCTTGTTCAAAATCTTCACTCTTCATCTCGTTCTCTGGATGAAGACTTGGAAGATGATGATGTTGCCGAAGATGAACTAGACATGCCAAGAGCCTGGGATCTGGCATTGGTATCAGCAGAAGGTCAACCCAATTCACCAATCATATCAGGATCACCATTTTCATCTTCAAATGGAGAGTGTAAACCCTCGGTGAAACGGAATTTATCTTCCTCAGCAACAACAACAAATCTCTCATTAACCTCATCTTCACATAGGCATAAATTAAGACAACACCTTTTACCCAGTAAAAATCATCATCAACAACGTTCATCACCATCATCACTTTATCATTCTCCACTTTCTTCACCCCATTTCCATCATAATTCAAAATTCAGTAGTAATAATAATATTAATAATCTTAGTAATCTTAATGATAACAGTGGCCAAAGTGACATTTGTTCATCTAAAAAAAGCTGTTTTAACCTTGATCATCTTTCAACCAAAGATGCTAATGGCTCAATAACATACTCTTCATCTTCACCATCATCTTATTATCATCATCGTTCTCAACATCGTCTACGTAGTCCCTCCTTGACCGGTGAAAAAAAGCAACTTGTTGATGCTTATACCAATACATTAATACAAGGTTAGCAAAAAGTCATTTCTTTTTCTCTTTCGCCTTTTTTTTCTCTCCAATTTTTTCTTCTTCTCTTCTCTTTCTTTTCTGTCTTATTTCTATTACGTTTTACTTTTTTTTCTTCTTCCCATTCTCTTCTTCAATGGCATTTCTCTCGAATCTCCATCTCTCTTCTCTTTCCCTTTCACCATTCGCTTCTCTATTTGCTTAAAACAATTTAATGTCAACATTCTGTTTAAATAACACAGTTACTGTTCTATTTAAATCGTTCCTCATCTCTCATCATCATCTCATTTGCTCGTTCAACATTCGTAGTTGAAATAATAGATGACGCTGTGAGTTATCTAATGAGTCCATTGGAAACTATCCAGAGAGTGTAAAGCCGACAGTAACCACGGTTAGTAAAACGTAGTTACTGGTTACAATATACCATGAAAAATGAGCTTTATACCCATAAACATTTCTCTCTCTCTTTACTTTCTTTTTTCGCCTCATCATTCCTATCATCATCCTTCTCATCATCATCATCCGGTAACCTTATTAGGAGAAAGAATGAAAACCAAACATAACTTTAAATGGTCAATTTTTACTTTAAAAAAAGACTCTATTCGCCTTCAACATGACAATTATCATTAACATGATAACTTTTCCTCTCTCACTCTCATGGCTCTCTTTCAAGTTTTTTGGTATTTTGTTAAATTGAATGGACAATGCAATAACACAATAACTAATAAAGGTAAAAATGAGCAAGTTTATTATGATATGATGGCGATGAAAGTATCAAAAAAAACTAATCATTGCCATAAACAATCAACTGGCATCGTTTAGATCATCGTAAAAATGGGAAAAATGGTCCACCCAATTGAAAATGTTTGATGTGTGTTCCCCTGACGATGATGATGATGTTTAGGACAATGATTAAGAATGAAAATGATGGAAAGCAAAAAAAAGTTTATGATTAAGTAATAAGAGTCATCTAATGGCCAAGTAGGAGTTTTTATTTTGACTTTCATTATTTACAATTTTTTTTGGTTTTGTTGTACTTTTTTGCCTGTTGCCGTTGTTGTGTGTTTATTTGTTTTACACACTCACACACATATAAAAATGAGAAACATGAACTTGTCTTTTCACTTGCACTTGTATTATTGTGTTTTGTGTGGGGCGATTTTTTTTTCACTCAAAAACTATCCAGTCTTTTGCATTCATCATCATCGCCACTCATCATCATGTTCATCTCGTTCACCTTAATAGGTGATGATGAGGGAGTTTTGTTGGCTCAACCAAACCGATTGCTCATTGAACATGAGGTGACGATGATGACGAAAAGAGAATAAGAAAGGAAAGGAAAAAGATGAAGATGGAAAAAAAGAACCAACAGAAAGAAAGGAAAAGACTGCCTGGCCTTGCTGTCCTGAATGGTGTTATCCAACATCTGAAAACAGCAGTTTCATTGTGCGAATGATAATTCTGATCTCATTTTTTGGCGAAGAGAAGAGAGAAGAGGAAGGAAGATGAAAAAGTGGAAAAAAACGTTCATATTTATCATCTAAAAAAAGTAAAAAAGCTTTGCCTAACAACCTACTTTACTGATTCACAGAGAGTCTTCGTTATCACAACCCGTTTCCTCATCATCAAGAATGGTTTAGTTTAAGCTATCCTCAAGGATATTTTTTACTCTCTCTCTTCTTGCCTCTCAATGTGCACTAATTCCTCTCTCTCACTTTCCCCACTTTCTCTTCTCTTTCTTTTCCATTCTCTCTCTCTTCATTTCTCTTCCCCATGAAACCATAAGGGAAAGCAAGAGGGACTTAAATACATATAAGGCCAGTATAATCTGTATACATATTTATGTTGAATGACGTATGATCATTTGAACTAGGGGACTCCCCCAAATAAATCTGGGAGAGAGTGAGAGGAAGATGTGCAAGATGATGATGAAGAAGAAAAAGTAAAGCATCTTCGCTATTGGTTTCTAAGTGCAAAAAAAGAAAGAAAAGATATCCGGTTCGAGGAATCGGGATGTTTCTTGGCTAAGGCCCATTTATGGTTAGGTTACCGCAAGCCTCTTTCTCATCCTCATCACCAGCATCACCATCTTCATCTTTACATCTTTTTTTACTCTCTTTCTCTTGGAAACCAATGGTGAAGCAAACTTTACTTCAAGCAAAAATGCTCTTCTCCAAATCTTGAAATCTTCCTCTTCTCCTTTCAGATTTCAAAAGTCCTGAGTCAATGTTTAGACGATTGGAGCATCTCCAATATCATCACAGGACTGAACATTTACAAGAACAATTTTTCCCTTCTTTATATCAATTATTTACCTTTTGTTGGTGCTTTTTCCTCTCTTCCATGTTTGAAATATTGGACAGAAAAAAAAAGTTTCACTTGAAAGTTGCTGTGAAACAATATGAAAAAAGTATCAACAAAAAAGGTTAAAAATTGAAATTTCATTTTGAACATTACATTGAACTTTGGTTATTCACATTGTATTTTCAATTTTCATCTTTTTCCCTCATTTTGTTTCATTTTGTCCAATTTACTTTAACCTTCAATCGGCTAATTTATTCATTGCTTTGGTCACTTGAAAGTTACCAGATTACCTTGAGTTTAAAAGTTAATATTGTTGACAATTAATCAAGCTTAAATGCTTTACTGTTTACTTCCACCCTTGGTTTAGAGTCAAATTCAAAGTTTATTTTCAATCTTTTCCGCCCACCTTTGGTCAAGCTGACCTTTATTCTGTGTTTTATATTTATTATTTCAATTGACAAAATGTCAATCATTAAAAGACAAGACAATGTTTCAATCAATTTCATTGTTTCATTTTTACATTCCTCATCATTTTGATCACAATTGATTTTTAATTGCATTTAATAGTGAACGAGTAAAACAGTTTCAGTAAATAAAAAATTGTTACACTTACAGTTAACTTTGCCAAAATTTTTCATCTTAAAAAAGATGCCAAAGTTGACTTTTTTTTGTAAGATGAAAAAGATACAAAAAAACGATGATAATTGGCAAAATGTCCAAGTCCGCTTGACCTGACCCAAAGATCCAAAGATTTTTGTCAATTGCCAAGTCTCTTTTGATCCCTTCCCTTGACTGGTTAAAAGTAGGCCAATGATGCCAACAACAAGAGAGAGTGAAAGAGTAAGTTGACCAATAAAACAGGAAACAGAGTAACAGTAAACTGACCATCAATGGGCCTCTTTATTCCCTTCACCTTTCAACTCTTTGTATAACCTCTTTCATTGTGTGCCCTTTACTGGCAAAAGGAGGAGGTGAAGGGTTTAAACAAATGCAACAATAAAAAGCTGGACGCGTGTGTGTGTGTGCCACAAGAGCAATAGTGCAAAGGTCAGTCCAGTACAAAACAAACACACACACAAAAAACTGACCCTTTCTTGTCCTCTTGTACTGTTATCACTGGCTTGTTAGGCATTAAAAAACACAAACCCTTCTCAACCCGGTCACTCAATCATCTGAATGACCTAATTTACTTTTCACGGGTTGCCGCTCTTTACGCCAACAAAAAGATGACAGTAAAAAAAAGCTTGAATTAGGAGAGAGGAAAGAGCGAGATGAAAATGGACCAATACTGAATCGATCAAGAACAGATTGAAATGTCGATTATCTTTTTTATCACATTTTCTACTTTCATTATAAATCAGTGTTCACCTATTTTTTCCTTTACCCTGATCATCATCATTATCATTTTTACTCTCCATTACAATAACCTTTTACCGATGTTTTACTCGAACTTGCTCGTGATGTTGTACTTTTTTTTGCATAAAAAGGCCAATAATGATTTGTTTTTTACTCTTTTTATGCCCTTTGGTTAAAAACTATCAACCTTTTTTTTCCTGTACATTTGTTGGTTAGGCAAACAATTTATTTTGCTACTCTTTGTCCTCTCTTTAGTTTCAATTTTTCATCTTTTTCCATTCACTTTCTTGCATTATGGTAATAGGTATTTTTGGCAACAAAACATGAACATGGAACACACAGAAACTCTGAGAAAATAAGAATTGCAAATTGAAAATGCTTTTGTCATCAATGATGATCATTTTAATGTTGATAAAGTCAAAGTAAACATTCAACTCGCTCTGAGCGTCCACTGTATTTTGCATGATTAAAGGTAATTTAGTAATGGAGTCAAACTCATTTTTTTGTTTCATGTTCTTCATTCAGTCCCTGTTATAGATTCAGACTTTGTTCAACCTTTCTTGTCCAACTTGCTATTTGCATTATCAACTTAACAATATTTTCATGTTACACTTTGTCAACCTTTGCCTTTCATTATAAACTGATAATCTTGCCAATTTGCTTTGCGATATTTTTCAAGTTTCATGACTATCTATTGAATTACTTTTACCCATGATGTTCAGGTGTATTATATATTCAATCGTTTCCAATAAAACTTGTCATTTTAACTTTTTGTTTGTCAGTTTTTTTCAAAAAGAGTGCAAAGAAGAAAAATGATGAAAACAAGAAAAAAAGATAAAATGATCATTTCTATCAAACTTGTTCACTTAAAGTTACCTTTTTTTTGTTCAACCTTTTGTTCCAACTGAATCTTTTAGTCAATTGAAAAAAAAGATGAATATGGACTGAAGGACGCAGAGGATTTAAACTCGAGATTTACACCTTACATCTTTTTTCCTCTGAATTATCATCAATCTTGCAGTTTTATTTCTTTTCACTATCACTCTCATCATTATCATCTTCATCCTTTTCCCGTTGAATGATGAAAATTTTTTCATTTTCACTTTCATCTTTTCGCCTCTTGTTTCCATTATATTACAGTAAATGTAATCGATTGATGTTTAAATCTTCTCGCTTTAAAATCTTCTTTCAAACATATTGAACTCTACTACTTCTTGCTTTATAAATGTCATCTTGTATGAAGATCATCATCACTCTCATCATGATTTGTTTAATGGACATGATGAGAATCCATTGACTCACCATTTTGCTTCTCCTTTCCTTTATTCATTTTTTGCTCTCGCTTCTTGTCAATAGTATTAACCAGTGACAAAACCTCAGTCACAATCATTTTGTATTATTACTTTTGAGGGATGAAAAATTGAAAAACATGATGTTTGGAAACAAATTTCAGGATATGCTCAAGAATCCATCATCTGATTGTAAAAAATTTACAACCAATGACTTTGGACACTTTTTTGTTACTTTTTTTCCTCACTTTATGGAGAAAAAAGTAAATCTTTTTGGTCAATCTTTTCTTGGAAACCCTTTTCCATGCTGATGAAACTTTCAACCCTTTTTTTGATTCCAGCAACTCTGAAAATTTTTTCTGTTTCTTCTCTTTTTCATCAATTATGAACTTTTATCTCGCTTTTAATTGATGCCTTGAACAGTGAATTGCCATTGAATTTTCAATCAACTTTTCAATTTTTTCCAAGTTGAATGTTATGTTAATGTTTCTCCTTTTTTTCATTGTTCATCTTCAGAACCAATATCAGTCACCTGTTATACCTGTAAACAAATATTCAACTCATCGTGGAGCTTGGTGCAACATGTTCAAAATCTTCATGGAATTAAGATTTATGTTGATAAAAATGAAAACTCACTTTCTTCCCTTTTCCCTTCTCTCGACGGACGAGCTATCACTTCTGTGGCCTCAGCTGGAACCACTGGACACAACAGTATCAACAGCAGTGGTCATCACCAGCAATCATCATCTTCCTCTTCCTCCGGATCTTCATCAACATCTCCCTCTGCTGCTGCCGTAGCCGCAGCAGTAGCCGCAGCCGCAGCAGCCAACGGAGATCGCAACAACGGCAGTGGCGGTGGCGGAGGCAATGGTGGCCACTTGCCAAGTCACTTTAATTCATTTTCCTCCTCATCGCCCTCTTCACTCAACCTGCTTCCCTCTTCCTCACCCTCACCTCTCAACCTTTTACCTCCCTCTTCACCGTCATCCCTCAACCTTTTACCCTCATCTCAACTGAATGCAGTGGTTGCTGCCGCTGGCTTTTCGTCACCCTTTCTCTCTGGGTCCTATGGTGGACCCACTCATCCTCTCCTACGAATGCCCTTGAATCACAGTTCCCTGCTTGCTGCCATTGCCCAAGCCTCGGTGAGAGCCTCAGCATCGGGAGGTTCACAGGTTAATCTTAACTCTACTAGTCAGTCAGATATTTTCAGTGCAAATGCAAATGAACGCTCCTCGGCCGGTCCTGGTGGAGGAGGTTCCAGTGAGGGTAGAAACAGTGAGGGCAGACTGAGTGAGGGTCGAGTTAGTGATGGACGAAACAGTGAGGCCAGTGGCAATAATGCAAGTAGAAATAGTGATGTTAAAGCCATCACTGATGGTCGCAGCAGCGGTGGCGGCGGCGGTGGTGGCGGAGGAGGTGCTAGTAGTGGCCGGGGAAGCAAAGAGGGTCATACTCGAGCTCGCAATGATACCTGTGAATTTTGTGGTAAAGTTTTCAAAAACTGTTCCAACCTGACGGTCCATAGGAGATCGCATACAGGGGAGAAACCTTACAAATGTGAATTATGTTCTTATGCTTGTGCTCAATCTTCCAAGTTAACACGTCACATGAAAACCCATGGAAGGTTAGGTAAAGATGTTTATCGATGTCGTTTTTGTAACATGCCTTTCTCGGTGCCCTCAACACTGGAGAAGCACATGAGACGTTGTGGTGTCAGTCCAATCAATTCAAACAGTCAAACAGCTACAGCCAATGATTCTGCATTATCATTAATATCAACCTCAAATTCACCTTCAATGTCATCAAATTTACCATTATCATTAACTTATAATGATACAAGCAACAGTAATGATCCAAGTTCAGATGCATGATGACCACCATCACCATCTATACCAACACTACCATCATGATGGTAATCATTGAATGATTGCAACAACACCACAACACTTATCATCAAAACTCAAAAAAAACACATCAATAAATATGCATGCATCAATCACCAAAACGACAACATTAACAACAACAAACCAAAGCTGCATATTTAATGAAAAAAAAACAAGACACAAAAGGACAACCAAAAAGCAACCAAGCAAACAAAAAACACGCAAAGATGAAAAACAACAACAAGAAAGACAAAAGTTAATATGATAAATAATATTAAATTAATACTAAAAATAAATGCGTTTTATCAATGATTATTGATTCAATCCATTTTTGCAAAATTCATTGTTGCGCGTTTTCAACCTTTTTTCCCATTTTTACCTTGAGATCAAGTCTCTTGTGTGGTTGCCCAAACTTGTGATTCTTATCGGTTGATACACAACGTTCAACTTTCTGTTGGCTATTTCATGATGAAAAAAGCCTGTTAACTCCACACCTACTTGAATTGCGTGGTCTACTTAGCCTATAACATCTTGCTCACTCACTCACCATGATCATCTTCATTATCATCATGACAACAAAGTTGCTTATCTTCTCCTGTTTTCCCTTTCTTTTACTCTTTCCTCACAACAGGTCCTATAACTATTTTATTGACCATCCAATAAACATAAACAAGAATAGCGTCAGCAAGAAGAAGAAGAAAGAAGAATGAAGATGAAGAAGAAGAAGGAAAAGAATAAGAAAAATGAAGGAGTTGAAAGAGAGTAGAAGCGGTAAGGAGGAGAATCCAAGAGGAAAAGAAGGAGGAGAAGAAGAAAAAGGAGGAGATTTGGGAGGATGAAAAGGAGGAGGAAGGAAGAGAAAGAAAGAGAAAAATATTTTTCCTCTTTTTCTTCTCTTGTGCATGTTTCCATTTCTCAATGATAATGGTAATAATAATAATATTATTATCAACTGCTGCAAGTTAAGATGATAGCCAATGAGACCGGAAACAAGGTAAAAAGCTTTGTAACAAATGTGCTAGTCCAAGTTGAACGCAAAAAGCCGCCAAGTGAATCCAAAATGTGAATCGCTGAGAAACGATAAAAGGTTAAGAGAATGTCAATTTTTCAAATTTTACCAATCAACGATTTTCTCATCATTATCATGGGACAATTTAGGGAATCAATAACCATTCATGATTCAGAGAAAAGAAAAGGATTTCATGACAAAAATCTTAACCTAAATTTTACCTAACCTAACCAAACCTAACCTGACTCAATGAATCAATGGATAAGTTGAAAGTTGAGACAAAAGTTGACTTTCAAAAGCAACTGTTGAAAAGTCAAACCTAATGGGTCAACTTGACTAAAAGGTTTCTTCATCATCGGCTTTTATTGCAACAAGATTCAACCCATGACAATCATGAGTGTTGATTAAAAGTTGTTTATAACTTGACCTTTATCTTATCTGGAATCACCTCAATATCTGAAAGTCACATCGTCTTTTCGCCAATTCAAGGTAATGTAAACTAAAAGACCGTCAAATAATGCTGTTCAACTTTTGATTTGTTTAACAAAAGCTAGACCTTCACTCATAATTGGTATACATTTTCAATGTGAAGTAGTTGATAAAATTTTTATTGACCCAAACCAGGGCCAATTAAGACTCGACTGTGATTCAATTTTTACATCAATTGATTATCTGATTGGATAATGAATGTCAACAGTTACAGTTAACCTTTTTTTCTTGCAGGCTTTTTAATCATTATTCATTTTTGCAAAGTTTCACACTTTAATCATTCAAAGTGTAACCTGCAAACAAAAGTTGCCTCAATTTTGCACACTCGAAACGCATATTTTTTTCCCATTGAATACAAAAGGTATTACCAATAATCAATCCTTACCTGGTCATCGACCTCTTTATCTCACCATCCATTACTCCAAGTTTTATACATTTTTATTAGTTCTATCATCATCATCATCATCATTAGTTTTATTACGTTTATGTCTGAATTCAGCCAAAAAGCACACCTTTTTTCACTCAATCATCGCCATCTTTCCTCCTCCTCCTTATCTCTCCACTATTAGCCTTTATCATCATTTTCAATATTGCTCATTATTTGTCCTTTTCTTCATCCTCATCATCATCTAACGTGATGAAGGAAGGAGAGAAAATTTTTCAAAAGCAAAAATTTTCTCCACATTTCCCTCCCACTATCAGTCTCCAGTGTTGAGGTTCAAAATTGATTGTTTTTTATCTCAATCCAAACAACTTGTTTCTTCATCAACATCCAGCAACCCAAACTGTGCCGACTTAGTACCAGCACGGACACAGTTATTTAGTTAATCATCATCATTATCTGGTCATTATTGTTCAACTTTTACTCTCTCTTCATTAACCTCTTGTCAACAACCTAAACTTTCTCCCTTTCCTCAATTAAATCAACCTCAATCAATGAATGTCAATCAAGCCAATCAAACAAACAAACACAAACTCAAAACGATCCATTAAAAAAAGGCTAAAACAAAAAGCGCAACTCGAACGCAAAAAAGTTGGTCAAAAGAGTCTTTTCCCAAGACAAAGCAGAGCAAAAATGCAAAAATGAAACAATCGATTAAAATTTAATCATTGATTCCACAGGCAAAAATTGACTAAACATAATCAATATAGATCATTAAATGTCTAATTTGTTTACTTTTGCGCTTCTTCGCATCTTTACCTTTCTGTTGACAATAATCATTGTCGTTCATTTGTATCCCTCTGTCAATCTTATCATTACCTTTTCATCATTATTTCTCAGTCTTTTTTTATATTCATCATTATTAACGTTCATTATCATTATTGAGTGATGGTCACGATTGTCAATTGTCTGGTGATTGTTGTTGAAGGAAAGCCAATCAATGAATGAGTTGATGCATGCAATGCTCATTAACACGGTCATAAATATTTTTTACCATTCAAAAGCCGAACCTCAAATTGACCCTCAACACGACTCTTTAATCACATCTTTCCACTTGTTTTTCTTTTCCAACTATTCACTAATCAATTCACATGATCAACGATAATGGTTGATGCCCATGTTTACCTTGCAATTGTTATCGACCAATGAATGAACACACAAAAAAACCTCCTTTTTTGCATTACATTAAGTCTAATCTAATTTTCACTTTTCAACCTTTATGAACATCAACCAAAACTACCATGAAAACGTTATCATGTTATCAATGTATCACTTGAAGCCAATTGACTAATTTATAACCTTTTTCATCTTCAATTTCATTGTCTTGCCGTTAGTTAAATTAGCCTGGTAATGAAGCCTTCAACACCTTTGTTTCAATCGAGTTCAATTGTCTTTTTTTTGGTGAAAAAAAATTCATTCTTTCAATTGAATTGCCTTTTTTCACTTTTTTATGCTTTTTGTTTTTCGACACTTTTTTGTTCATTTTTAATTCATTACAAGTTGGACAATCAGTTGATATCATTTTCATGATAATTTTACATTTTTATGGTTAAGGTTTCAGGGCGTTTTACTTGTGCAATTTTAGCCTCTTTTTGATTCGTCCTTTTCTCGATTCCTTTTTGCTTCGTAATTGGTGAATAGCTTTTTTGTGATTAGTCGACTTTGAGTTGGGTTCGTTAAAAGGTCACTTGTTTCATGTGAGCTTTAAAGGCGTAATTTTCGCCTTTCATTGAATCATGAAATTCTTTTCCTTTTTTTTCTCTCTTTCTCTACCTTCTATCATGATTATCAATCTCATGATTACTGGACGAGGAGAGAGAGAGAGAGAGGAAAACAATTGAACTTTGAGTGGTTTCTTCTGGTGAAATGAAGTCTACTTATCAATCATGATTAGAATAGGATTAATCTGGATCAAATTGAAATGGCAAATGAGGAATGATTACGGATAACGGCTAATACCAACGTTTGATATCAACTTGTTGCAAGAGGTTTTTGTGTTTGGCATCATTAAGATGATGATGAAAGGTAAACAATGAGAAAATGGAAAATTCATTTTTTGCATGAGAAGAAGAAGAGAAGAGATTCTTTTTACTGTCCTTTTTGTCGGTGATTACGATTCTCTGTGAATTGTTGATTGGATGAGAGAAGGCAAGAGAAAGGAAGAAGAAGCAAAAAAAAGTTTCAATCATTTCTCTCGTTGCTCAGTGGCTTGGGTGAGAGACAGATGACGATAATGAATGACAAAAGGCCATTTTAAGATGAAGACAAGAAGAGATGAAAAATTACGATTAACTTGCAGAACCGTAACGATCGGTTCCAGTTCTGTCTTTTTTACCTTTTCAGTCTTGTTCTTCTGTTAATCTTGTTTTTCCTGAAAAGCTCATAACCATTGGCTATTGGTTACCATTGGCATGGTTAACTTTCATTGACTTTCATTGCCTCTCTCATCATTATCTTCATCATGAACACCATGAACAGCACATTGTCAAGATAATAGAGATGATTCAGTGAAATGAAAAACAAGAAGTAACAAAAAAAAACGACAATAACAATACAAAAGGTGCTTTTTTACTTCTTTTGATAAAATGAAACTTGAATTGTGAGCGAAGAGAAGAAAGAAGATTGAACAATGAAAATGAAGAAGAAAAGTGGCAAAAATGATGAGAAAAAAAAGAGAGAGAGACGAAGAGGATGGACAGTCTTGTAAAACAAGGCAATGGATGAGAGAAAATGAATGAGCAAGATGATGGAAGATGGAAAAAGGTAAATTCAGTCTTTACCTAACGGAACAATCGTTTTGATGAGTTTATACACATCTTTCCATTCATGTCAATGCATTGTTATGTAACTTGACAAAGCATAGTTTGACCTTTAACTAGCCAGAGTGAAACTTTTTTTTTCTTGCCAAAGCAAAAAGTGATTCTACTTTTAGCCTTGATTACATCCATAGTTGGGGCCAAGAGTCCGAGAAGTGAGTGTTCATTAAATGAGCATTCATTTGAATCAAACGTTGCTCGGATGTACCGACCATTATCATTTAATGCTGTCCAATCCACTTCCCTAGGTTGAGTTACACTTGGTTGACTGCCTTATGGTTGTACAAGTCAATACATGTTAATGGCAACAACTTGCAACCTTAAGGTTAAATGTGTTTCAATTAACCTTCAAGAGTTGGACACATTTTGTGAAACATTGAAAATTCAAGTTTTATACCAAAGGTGGTCAATGAAAGG